CGTAATATTATCTTTCCTATAAACTTTTATATTTTTAAATATCACCAATATATTTTTACAACTTCACAAATTAGATCTATTATTATTTTATATTCGGTTTGAGCAATATATAATTCAACATATAAAAAATATTGTGTATTCACGAAACATTTTCTTTTGATAGTTATTCAATAATACTCCATGTTCAACAAACTTATAAATTGAGTTGGTGGTATTAATGATTCTTTCTTTTTTAATTTAAAGCATGTAGAGTTTATTTTCTTATTCTTGAAATATTTTAGAAAGACGATCTTGTTTGATTTTTTTAGCAACTTTTTGGATTATTCTCATTTTCTAAAGAATATTTTAAAATTATTTTCATAATAAATAGATTCAATCCATTATCAAGCGCATGCTATGTGCATATTTAGTCTAAACTTTAAAATTAACATATATTTAATAATTAAAAATTAAAACTAGAACTAATTTGTTTTATTAATTAAGATAAATAATGCTTTCAATTTTTTTCGTATTATTAAACCTCTTGGAAACTTTTTTAAAATTAATGGTTTATATTATTAAATCATGTGGGTACACTTCTTATTTTGTTAATTTAATGATTCATACAATTGGTAAACTTTATTTTGTCTATGAATTTTTTTTTTTGTAAACACAAACTAATCTAAAGAGGTTATAAAGGTTACTATGGTTATAAATGTAATTATTTAAACACGCAATTTGTAATGAGAAAAGAATTTATGCGTCGATGAACAGTGGGAACGCATATTTGCGTTTCCAAAAGGGAGAAAACGACCTCAAATGCATTTTGCATTTGATTTCGGGTACTGGTTGGAATAATTTATTCGTTTGGGTTGCATATCCGACTCAGTAGGAGTTGCTCTTAAAGTGCAATGGTGAACGGACTTGTAAAATCAGTCAAGTAAAAATAATTGACTAATTTACAAACTCATGGCTACATAAAATTTGCTTTGCATATATACGATTCATTGAAAGTTTTATCATCTCAATTTGTTTCGGAGATAAACTTTGCAAATATATTGAGTGTTCCATGATTTACATAGATCTCGCTACC